AACTCACTGTGTAGATCAGGCTGGCCTTAAACTCACAGAGATCTGCCTGCCTCTGCCTCTCAAGTGCTGGAACTACAGGCGTGCGCCACCACGCCCAGCACCTCCTACGTTTTATAAGTGTTAGGTAGTGTGAGATGCCTGCCTCTGCCTCCCAAGTGCTGGAACTACAGGCGTGTGCCACCACGCCCAGCACCTCCTACGTTTTATAAGTGTTAGGTAGTGTGAGCTAAAGAGGTAGAAAGCTGGAAAACTCCTGAAGCCTGGAAGCAAGAAACACAAGTAGTGTAAGTACACTGTAAGAAAATCTCGATGTCCAGCGGCTCATGGAGGCGGCCCGTCCCCGCTCTTCTCAGCTTGAGGATCTGATTCCTTTTAGGGAATGTTTCCTTCCACTCACTCAGACCACACTTGTGGATTAAAATCTGGTGGAGACTCTGACAAAAATGGTTTAGTTGAAGAGAAAAGAACCTGCTGACTTAATGCAACCCAGCCAGGACTCTGAGGTCCAGGTTACACACTGGCGTTAAGGAAACAAAATAAAACAGAAAGAGGCTGTGTATGAATCATGCAGGAGGTTAGAAGAAAGCCCCCGGGAGGAATGCAGCAGGGACCAGCTTAGGTGCGGGTGAGCACAAGGGTGTCATTTTGTGCGCTGTTGCGATGGGAATCTGTGTCAAAGGATTCTGTAGGTTAGGCGACCGGCAGCTAAGATCGCAGTCTGCATTGTGTGGAGCACAACGCCAGCAAGAGGTGAACAACCATCCGCAGCAACAGCAACAGCACTGCTCCAGCACCGACTGGAAGTCAAGTATTTGCTGTTGTATAGGCCCTGCCCTCAAACGAAGAGGCTCTTTCTGTGTACTTGATAATTCTTTCACGACTTCAACAGGACATAGAAGACATGAAGAAATTTAGGCATGATATAAAATAAAGATATAGAAGATATTAATAATGAACATTATGTTCCAGATTCTGTAGTAACCTACTATAACATACAATGCTCAGAGTTACCTGTTAGTCACCCTGTATCCAGTCAGCAAGCTGCCCCACATTACTGTTCAACGCATCAGCAATTGTACACCCCAGGGGTGTTTTCCTGTGTGTGTAATATATGTCAAAGCATGTAGCAGATATTCGGGAATCTAGCTAGTCTTGAGTGAAAATTAGCTTGCTTACCTTCCTCCTGATGGTGAAATAACTGTAAGTAGAGGCTTCTAGGCCTTTTTAAAAAATTATTTTTGCCGCCGCGCGGGAGCGTGGGGAGCGTGTTAGGCCACCTGCTTCTTCGCAGACGTGTCGTGCCTGCCGAGGAGCCGCCATGAGTAAGGCCCACCCTCCCGAGCTGAAGAAATTTATGGACAAAAAGTTATCATTGAAGTTAAATGGTGGCAGACATGTCCAAGGAATACTGTGGGGCTTTGATCCCTTTATGAATCTTGTGATCGATGAATGTGTGAAGATGGCAACTAGTGGGCAGCAGAATAACATTGGAATGGTGGTCACGCGAGGAAACAGTATCATCATGTTAGAAGCCTTGGAACGAGTTTAAACAATGGCTGTTCAGCAGAGCAGTCCATGTTCCCTCTCCAAAGGGCCTGTTCTACTGTGACGTAAAATCTGGTCGTATACATTTTCACATGGAAGTTTTTGATAAATAAACTTTTGTAGTACTCAAAAAAAATTATTTTTATTTTACCTATATGTGTGTATTGCCTGCATGTATATAAGTGCACCCATGTCATTCCTGCAGTGCTTGCCTTGAACTGGAGGTACTGGTGGTTGTTAGCCATCATGTGGGTGCTGAGAGCTGAACCCCAGGTTCTCTGCAAGGACAGTGAGTGCTCTTAGTGGCCAAGCCATTTCTCCAACCCCCATGTTATATCTTTACCTTACCAATAATTGTACTAGAAATAAAACTATCGCCACACTCCAAAAGTACTTAGCATATATTTCGTCAGTTGGTCATCGCAACGGCCCCATGAAGTAGGTACTATGATAATGTACATTTTATTAAGGGGGAATGGGCATTCTAAACAGGGAAGGGGACATACTGAAGGATGTCAGTGCGGCTTTGGCTGAAAGATTCCTTTCCTCCCAGAAACCCTAACCAATCTAACTTGGAAGGAAATGGGCAAAAGTATACTTCAAAAACTCCACAGCTCTGTAGAACAATATTTGCCACTAAGAAATAATAAGCTTAGCTGTGGAACATAGTGAATCATGGAAGTTTGCAACAATTAGAATAACTCTTCAACAGAACGATCTTAAGTAATCACATAAGATAGATTATATACCTTCAGAAAAAACACTCGATTCTATTAATATGTCTGCTTCAATGTGATTCCAAAATGGCTATAAGAAGCAATGCAAGCCTCAGCATGCTTTGTAAGTCTTGAAAATCTTATCTTAGGACAGAAACCCAGGCAGTAAAAGTTAAGTAAAATCCTATCTCAGGAGTTTCACTTGCCATAGAAAAAGCACCACTATGAAGAAAAAGGTAAACATACCACACCTGGCACCAAATAAGGGCATATGAGAGCAAAGGGAGGGTGGGCGGACAGCAGTGAAAAACTAACATACTGAACTGAGCAACTTAATAATGTTAGTCAAGCAGTACATGGTTTCTTTGTATATCTTTGCATGCTTTTTAAGGACAGAATTTGTGGCTTACAGTGTTCTTATCTAAGAACGTTACAGTGCTGGTCTTCATATGGCTAAAGCTAGAGAAAGGGTCAGTGCTCAGTATTAACCACTACAGTATTAAATTAACAACTGTTCCACAGGCTGAACTGGCTCATGATTCTGGATTTTTTCCTCTTAAAACATTCTCTGAACAGGAGGCTGGAGAGATGGCTCAGTGGTTAATAGCTCATACTGTTCTTGCGGAGGATCCAAGTTCAGTTCCCAGCACCCTGTCTGGTAGCTCACAAATGCCTGTAACTCCAGCTCCATGGTATCCAGTGGTATCTGCAGGTGTACCTATGTGCGTGCGTGAGCATGTGCGTGACACACACACACACACACACACACACACACACACACACAATCTAAAAAATTCTCTGGACAGAGAGGAAGTTCAAAAATTACTCAAGGAAAACATAAAAATTCACATTGCTCTGTAAAAATGTCTATAAAAGGAAACGAAAACAAATTCTAGAAACATAAATATACTTGTGAAAAACCACAAATTCATAAGGTAAAAACAATCTTAATTACAGTCTCATCTTAAATATTTGAGTTGGGGACATAAATAAAGAAATATAAATTTACTACAACAGTTACATGCAGGGGTTAAATGAATCTGTGATCCTTCAAAGGGATGTTTTATTGTTTCAGATGAGAGGCTGTTCAAAGGTGGAACAAAAATCTGGGAGGGTGTGGGCATCGGCTGGTGGGCAGGCACTCTGCTCTGCAGTTCTCAGACAGTGTAAGGACCATGGAATTTCCTTACATGGCAGCCCACAGACTGCGGCTGCTAACAGTCACAGGATGTGGAAACCGTTCTTGACCACTCAGCAGGAATGACAGTAACTATTTCTGAAGAGCAACTGCCCTGGCCGGAAGCTTTTCCCTCCAGCTCCTCAGCTCTGCTGACAGCGGGTGACACAAAGGGCTCTGATGATTACTGGCTTTCAGAAGAACTCAATCCACCTCAGCCTCACGCAAGAAGAAGTTCAGAGGTGCCAGTGCAAAACGTGGCTGCCGCTTGTCCCTACACTCCTCTCTAGATTCCGACTTGATCCACCTTAGTTCCACCACTTCTGAGTGATTGGTTATCTGCAGCAGGCACGCTGCCAGCCAGATTGATGCTGTTTGACTGCAGGATTCATGAGGCTGGCTGCTTTAGTAGTTTTGAGAGGATAACTGACATTGGTCCTGGAGAAGAACTAGAAACCAGAAACTCTTTCCCTGCAGATATGCCCCGGGATCCCGGAGTTCTCACCCCTCCTTTTTAGTCTCAACGTAAGCCTTTACATCTCATCCTGAACAGCACATTGTACATCAAAGGGAACGTTTCTTAAGTGAATGCAATGAATAGCCGTAGGTCCTAAATCTCTGTTTTCTGAATTTTATTTTCAAATCACAATTTTTGATGTATTTTTATAATAAAAATACATTATAAAAATTTGAATGTCACATTTTTGCTGCTCACAAAAACAGAATGATGCTTTTTAACAATCTCATAGAAAGACTACGTCAAGAAATTACTTGAGAAAGAACTAAAGGATAAAATATTTTCCAACAAATTTCAAGTAAAAGATGAAAAATTCAAGTGAATGTACTGACCTGATATAACATGGTTTTGTAGGCCAAATGTCTTAATCTCATGGCAAAATTTTCCTCTGCTCTGCCATAAAACAATCCCTAGAAAACAAACAAAACAATCTCTATTTATTCTTAGCTCTTTTCTCTTTCCTTGTAACATTTAGTTATTATATTTTTGACTCATATAGATAGGATAATAAAAAGTGTCACCCTGCTCAGAGCTGTTAGTTAAATATTTAGCTGACAAAGGCTATGGCCCCCAAAATGACTAGCATCATAGAATAGATTTCTGCACCATGCTTCAGTGTGGCTTTATTTTATCTCCAAACAGCTGAAAAGAAAGAATGTCATCAGAGGCTTGAAGTAAAATGTAAAACGAACAGAAAATATAAGCAACTTCACTTAAAATGGTCATATACACCAGAATTTTCTACAGGGATTGCAACATGAGAAAAAGACTAAGCATTTCTGGGCAAAAAGTATACTATCATTCTATTAGCTCAATTATACACATGGTAAAATTAATTTACTTTTAACTTACTCAAATTTGTTATGTAACTACACCAGACAAATGAGTCGTCTATTATCATCATAGTATTATTTAGATGTCAGAGGACAGCTCTTGGGAGACTGATCTCTTTCCCCTTGTTGGGGCAGGGTATCTCTCTTGTTTCTGCTGCACTGTGTACTCCAGACTGGGTGGGCTGTGAGTTTCCTGCCAATTCTCCTGTCTCTGCTTCACATTAGGCAGTAAGAGTGCTGGGATTACAGATGCACACCACTGCATCTGGCTTTTTTCATGAGTTCGAGGGATCAAACTTAGGTTGTCATGTGAGGCAAGTGCTTTTATCAGCTGAGTCATCTTCCTGTCCTCACAGTATTTTTTCAATGAAATTGTCAGTTTGAACTTTTATTTCTTATAAGTTGTTTCTTTTACAAAACATTTATTTTATTTTATGTGTTTGAGTGTTTATCCCAAATGCATGCAATTCACAGAGACTGAAAGAGGGCATTGGATCTCCTGCAACTGGAGTTATGGATGGTTATTAGCTGCCATGTGAGTTCCGGGAACAGAACTCAGGTCATCTGCAAGAACATCCAGTGCTTTTAATCACTGAGCCATCTCTCCAGTTCCAGCTCATGTTTCTTAATATTCATCTAGAGTCATACTTGCAATGTGAGGGATTTATATGTGCCCCTAGTAATCATTTGTGAAGTTGGGTATCATACGCATTTTTGTTGGGGAAATGCAGCTCTGTCCCAGGGCTGCTGAAGACTGCATGGGTTTACTGAGATCTGAACCAGTCAACTCTTCTGGGTTTTTGGCATAATCCCAAACTCTAATTTCCTCTCCCTGAGCTGGATGGTAATAAAAAAATTGTCATTGTTTGGACTAGTTGAGAAGACAGTAGTTGTATTTGTCTTTTTTATTGCTTCAGTGCTTAGGAATGCTGATACAACACTGAAGTGAAAACTAGAAAACAAAGCAGTTTCTTTATGGATCGTCTAGTGAACAAGATCCAGCTGAACATTACATAGTGGGTGTGGTTTATTTCTCAGGAACGTGGGCTAACCTTCCTACCTTGGGCTCCACCCTAGGGATGACCCACTGAAAGTTCTGGTTTCTGCCTCGTTGATCAGTATGCAAAAGCTCCCTGCTCTCTGATCGTGCTTTATTTAAGTTGTTAAAATCATAAGCAAATGAGTTTGACTTACAGTGACCAGTTTTGCAAGGACGATGGAAAATGATGGGTGAGCAGATCCATTTAAAGCAGAAGCCAGTATTCCCCAAATCACCAAAGGCCATTCTGATTTGTTTAAT